CTTTTTCCGCACTCGGGTGGTTTTGGGAGGCTGGTACTTCCTCGGGCGAAAAAGCAGTTTTCCGGAACTCGTTCAAAAAGTCTCCTTTACGAACCTCGTTACGTCCCTCGCCTTCGGCTTGGGCCGCAAACCACTCGGTTCGCAAACAGAGACTTTTCAAACTCGTAGGAAAACTACTATTTCCAATGAACGAAAAATGAAAAAAAAAAGAAATTCGAAAAAAAAAATATTTCGTCATTTATTCAAAACCATTTAAGATGACTTGAATCTCTAAAAACACTTATTTGATAATTAAAAATTCAGGTTGTTGCTCAATTAATTAGTGTTGACTCGTCAAGGTATTCTTAAGAAATGATAAAATAATAGATAAAAATGATAGTAAACTCTATTAGGCCCTAATTAAGTGTGTAGTTTAATTTTAATACCACAACTTGACAGTTTTAAATTCAAAAATTTTAGTCAAAGGAAATATTTTACTGTCCCTAACGTTACTGAACTCTAATAGAGTTAAAATTAGTTTTTGGCAATTAACTTTTAACGTGGATGTATAGGATTCTTGTAAATCTGTAAAAAAATGTGAATCTCAAATAAATAATTAGTTAATATTATTAGTTAATATTATGTACTAATACATATAATAGTTACAGAGGTTGAAAAGGTCATTTTTTTTTGGTGGAAAATAAATTTTTAAAAAACTAATAATAATTTTTGCAGTATCGTTTTAAATTCTTATCAAATGGATATACGTGGTCAAAAAATTGGAGATTTCAACAAATACGAAATTTTTTTTCAATACGCTTATACGCAAATTACAATACTGATGGACTAGGAGGCAATAAAAATTTGAAAACAATAATAAAAAGTTTTTGCCCATTACAGAATGAAACTGCATAAAGTTTTAAATACAAGGATACGGTTTTAAAATAATATAAATTTTACATTTTTAAATGTATTTTTGAAAGATTTGTTTCGCGCTTTAAAAAGTTTCCTTCTATTTCAGATCAATATGAGGTCGAGGAAAGTTGTAAATTTTGATCTACGTTTTTGTAATGTACGCTTATGTCATATGAACAAGACAAATTATTGAAAAGAATGAAAAAAAAAATGTTTACAGGACGATGGGTGAATCAGAAATGCACTACATAATCAACTAATAATGATAGAAAATGTTTTTTTATTAAAAGGAATTTTCACAACACTCTTAATATCAGCGCGTAAGTAAAAAAAAGTTACAATTCGGTATTTAATTAACGAAATCGTTAAGAAACTATTGCTTAAAAAGCTGTATTAAAAAAAAATTTACAATTAGAAAAATTCGATAAAAATTAATTAATCAATATTATGTTAAAACGGCTTCTCCATTTCAATTTGAAACTTTTTATTACAATTGAATTATTAAATTGGACAAAGAGAGAACCAATTCATAGCCACATAAACTTTCGACAAAGTGATATGCTTGCCCTTGAATTATTACGACGTTTCAGCTCCTAAACAACTTATTAATATCGTTGGGAACATAATTCAAACAAATTATTCGTCTGTTCTATTTCATTTTATTGTTTTAAGCATAAGCATACAAGAATATTATCATTAATTTTTTTTTTTTTAATATGTTTTTCAAAGAATTGCGACCATCGTTATATTTAATGCGCCTATTATTTAGACTATGGCACTCAGTATGTGTTTTTAAAAGATAAGATAAAGAAAAATATTTTTTGCAAATTCAACATATTTATGGCTTTTTGTCTGTATGCGAGCGAGTATGAATTGATAAATTTTGTTTTTTGGAATAAGTTTTTTCACAAACTGTACATTTGTATGGCTTTTCGCCCGTATGGGTGCGAATGTGGATTGTAAGACTGTGTTTCCGAGAAAAAGACTTGCCACAATCGTTACATTTAAAGCACCTATTGTTTGGATTATGGAGCTCCATATGCCTTTTCAGAGAAAAGAATTGAGAAAAAGATTTCTTACAAATTTTACATTCATATAGTTTTTCGTGTGTATGTAATCGAGTATGAATTGATAAATATTGTTTTGTGCTATATGTTTTTTCACAAATTTCACATTTGTATGGCTTTTCGCCCGTATGGGTGCGAATGTGGATGGTAAGATTGCCTTTTTCAGTAAAAGATTTGCCACAATCGTTACATTTAAAGCACACATTGTTTGGATTATGGAGCTTTGTATGCCCATTTAAATTAGATAATTGAGTAAAAGATTTCCCACAAATTTTACATTCGTAAGGCTTTTCATGTGTATGTATACGAGTATGAGTTATTAAATTATATTTTAAAGTAAAACTTTTATCACAAACGTCACATTTGTATGGCTTTTCGCCCATATGAGTGCGAATGTGTTTTATAAGACTGTGTTTGTGAGCAAAAGACTTGCCACAATCGTTACATTTAAAGCACCTATTGGTTTGATTATGGAGCTTTGTATGCCCATTTAAATAAGATAATTGAGCAAAATATTTCCCACAAATTTTACATTCGTAAGGCTTTTCATGTGTATGTATACGAGTATGAGTTATTAAATTATATTTTAAAGTAAAACTTTTATCACAAACGTCACATTTGTATGGCTTTTCGCCCATATGAGTGCGAATGTGTTTTATAAGACTGTGTTTGTGAGCAAAAGACTTGCCACAATCGTTACATTTAAAGCACCTATTGGTTTGATTATGGAGCTTTGTATGCCCATTTAAATAAGATAATTGAGCAAAATATTTCCCACAAATTTTACATTCGTAAGGCTTTTCATGTGTATGTATACGAGTATGAGTTATTAAATTGTGTTTTAAAGTAAAAGTTTTATCACAAACGTCGCATTTGTATGGCTTTTCGCCCGTATGGGTGCGAATGTGGATTATAAGTCTGTGTTTGTGAGCAAAAGACTTGCCACAATCGGTACAATTAAAGCATCTATCGTTTCTATTTTGATGACTAATATGTGCTTTTAGAGTAGAGGATTGACTAAAAGATTTTTTACAGAATTCACATTCGTATGGCTTTTCGTGTGTATGAATACGAGTATGACTTATTAAATTATGTTTTGCAGTAAAAGTTTTTTCACAAACTTCACATTTGTATGGCTTTTCGCCCGTATGGGTGCGAGTGTGGATGGTAAGACTGTGTTTGTAAGCAAAAGACTTGCCACAATCGTTACATTTAAAGCGCCTATTGTTTGGATGATGGAGCTTTGTATGCTCATTTAAATGAGAAGATTTAGTAAAAGATTTCCCACAAATTTTACATTCGTATGGCCTTTCGTGTGTATGTAAGCGAGTATGAATTATTAAATTATGTTTTGCAGTAAAAGCTTTTTCACAAACTTCACATTTGTACGGCTTTTCACCCGTATGGGTGCGAATGTGTTTTATAAGACTGTATTTTCGAGCAAATGACTTGCCACAGGCATTGCAATTGAAGCGTCTACTGTTTCTATTATGCTGACTAATATGTGCTTTTAGAGTAGAGGATTGAGTAAAAGATTTTTTACAGAATTTACATTTGTATGGCTTTTCATTTTTATGGATTCTGGTATGTTTTGTTAATTCATTTTTGCTCAAAAACGACTTAATACAATAACTACAAGTATGACGTTGCCTATCCACACGTGTACGTTTGTGATTGTCCAGTTGAGTTTTACTGAATGATGTATCATTGTCATAGTTTCCCGTAAAAATTCGCTTATTGTGATGCTTATCGACTTCCATTGTATTATCATCCATTAATTTTTCCAGTAAGTGTTGACCAGGTCTTCATTAAATGCTATGATATTTTTATTTTATTCATTTGATGTTCTCTGTTAATGCAGTTTGTATCTAAATATTTTGGCTATACAAAAAAAGTTCCTGAAAATAAAAATGGTATACATTCAATAATACATAAAATTATGTTCCTTTGCCTAGAAAAATGAAATATTGTTATTCACATTAAACTAGCATTCAAGTGTTTTAAAATTGTAGCGTATGTGTTAATTTAATGTGAAAATTGGGGAAATACGAAATAAATATTAACTTTTTATTGCCATAGAATTACCTTTTACATATAACAATTACCTTTAATTAAAATGTTTGTAATCTGTTGTTGTAATATTTTGTTTAAATTATTCACTAACAACTTAAAATTGATCAACCCCATTTAAAATAAAGTACCAAAGAAATATTTTTACGTATCCTATCCAACCTCACAACTTATGAAGAGGCACCGTCACGTGACAATAAATGTTGGATAAAATAAAATTACTTCAGAGTCAAAGTCAGAAAAGTATAGGGTTGACGGCTTTTATATACTTTTTCACGCAAAACGTTCTTAACAAGCATTTAATTGTTTATAATTATTCATTCCCAACTTATTTTATTGGTATAATATTACTGCAGCAGTTTATGTTGAAAAAAAAAATTTAATTTTATCTTAATCTAATAAATTTTTACTACTCAAACTTGTACAATTTTTGGGACAAACAGATCGTTTTTGCCTTCCGTTTTCTCATGAGGCAATGTTACGAAAATCAAGAAAACCCACTGGTTTTGTAACTTATTCATACGAAAAGAGCTGCACAACAGTACTATAGACTTCCATTAAACACTAAAAACTGCTGTATGGACACAATTTCAATCTTCTGCTTAGTCTTATACTACGTCTTCTTTATAATAATAAGCATACCCATATGCTCACTTTGCACTTATTGACGTAATTGTACATCTACAAAAATATCATGAGCACCTTACAAGGTGTCGATCAACTGTACCTTACGCACTTCTTACACTGTACCAACACGCAAACTAATTTGTTGATACTAAAACTTCGATTTTCGGGAAGTAAAACTACATTATTTAGTACAAACTCACCTTATGCAGCTAAAGCACCTCACTTCTTCTCACTTTGGTAATACAATGGTACAAGAGAAAGCTGGAACTTCTCGTTGGTAAAGGTGATGTGTCACTCTACGCGTTTACGATCGCCTTAACTCGATGAATCACTAAAAGTAGAGCACAACTTATACGAGACTGTACACGCCATATTTTCATGGTGGGAATTACAAACCTTAAACTGACAATATCCATTGAGTTTAGTTATTTTATTGAGAAGAAAATATTATTTGCTACACAATTTTCTACTTGGATCTATAGACTTAAAATAAAATGAAACTCTATAGTTGCTTGTACTTTGGGGAACTTTGGCTTCTAGTTTTATTTAATACGATATTTCGAATATTTAGCGGTTGCAAATAAGCAGTTTACTGAGTTTGGACGTTGATGATTCCGCATCACGATACCTTTAAATGGTAAATAAAGTGTTCCAGCTTTTCCTTGAATTATTATATAATACTTGAATTGTTATGTTCGTAATAGTTATAGGTTGCCGGAATACCAAATTTGTTTACATTACTTACACGGAATTTCGATTTGAAAATTGTTATAAGGTTAATAATTAAATAAAATTCTGAACCGCAGCTATTAAGACACAAGAACTACTTCTTTTCAATGTACAGAAATTCGTTTTGTTGCTGCGTCACTGAAACTTAAGTATTTTTTGCACGACAAATAAAAACTGATCATATCATGGTCATCATGATGAAGTCACTGATTTATTTATTGATTTTGAAATATCACTTTTATAATTTCGAAGTGCATCGATGCCTGAGTGAATAAGGGGATAGCGATACTGATACGAAAACAACGGAAAAATTGTGTTTTGTCTATGCGAGTAAAACCTACATAAAATGCTTTCAAAACATTAAATAAACTTTTTCCATATAATTATAAAAAAAACTAAAAATAAGTAAAATTTTTCAGTTCTTGTACGTAATATGTCATTCCATTTGCTGAAATAATTGAGTTTTTCAAATTTTACGATAAAGGCCATGCGACCATGTAACGCATAATGTAAAAATTTTTTTTATGCTAAAAAAGAATGCACCTTCGAAAGAGAAAGAACAGATTTTGTTGTCAAAAATAAAAAAAATTTTCAAAAGGATGCTGGACGTGTTGAAAATAATCTACACTTTTAAAAATTTGTGAAAATTGAGGTTTAATTAATTATACAACCACATTTGTCAATTAATTGACATATTAACATAATTCCTAATATTAGTACATTAAATTTAATAGATTTATTTTATTCATTTAAATATATATTGATCATTCATTTACGTTTTCAAATGATTTTTAATATTAATGCGAAGACCTTATTTAGAAGTTACATTTTAATTTACCATTAAAAATAATAAACTCTAAAACGCTCTGAAACTTAATTGTAAAAAACAATGTTTTCAGTTAAATTTTTGATATTTTCTTTTTTAGAGGTTGTAGAGGAAGGTTTACAGTACTCGTTGTAACATATATTTTTTTGTATCGTACTTTTGTACTAAAGCTCTGAAAATAGAATCAAAACGCATTTTTCAAAACTTAGAAAACTTATTACTTTAATGTGTTGGCTTTAGGTATATATATATAT